TTTCTATTCTCTAACTTTCTCTTCCAGCTCTCAAGAAGAATGTTTCTCTATAACTTTCTGCGTCCTTCTTTTTTGTTATTTTGGGGTGAATAAGTAATAAAATAAAACAGGAAAATTTACACGAATACAAGGGGCATACCCCAGGTCCTACCACAAACTAGAACAGCAACACCCAAACTGAAAAGGAAACAAAAACCTACCAACCCACATAACCGGGGACACACGCAGCCAAGACGACTAAGCAGAACATAATAATTGTTCAAGAACCATGTCCCCACAACAGACAGGGGTCTTGCACAAATACAACACCAGCCCAGCATTTGCACCGAAACTGGGGAAATACAAGGACCAGCATGAAAACCAACAAAACACCAGCCCAATACTTAGTCTCAAACATGACCAGAACTAAAGACAAAACAGCCCAAAGAGGGGACAAAATTATGGTATACAAAAATTACAAACACACTATACGGGAATATGTACATACAGAAATGAAAATAGCTTATGAACCCACTGAAATGCCTAGGCAAGGCGCAACTTGCAGCCATCGCCGAAGAGCATATCCACACAGCGTACAATGTCAAAGAGGGGCGCTGGTTGCAGCCACCTTCACACCACCGGGTAAAACCAGGCACAGATTGCTGCCAATGCCCAAAAGTAGTCACCAACAGCAGACTACTTGCAGCCAAAGCCCAATAACAAGCCCAATAACCATCCGAAAGAAACTGCCAGGAACAATCCCACCTTACAAGTTGCTGTTTAACCTGTTCAACATATAATAGAAAGGAATTTCCATAACAATATATTGAGTCATAAAGAAGAAGAAACAACAAGCATTCAGTATAGGACCTCCCCTCACTCGACCCACAATGAAAGAGAGCTCTCCACTCAATGTAAGATCTCCCATCACTCGGCCCACATATCTCGTGCTCTCTTATTCCAGCCAGCTGAACAATGTACTTGAAAATTCCATAAACCTGCACAAAATATATATAATATATAGTACATGTTAGTCTAAAATATATGTACTTCCTCTCCCCCTCAACCCACATTTACAAGAGCATCTGTACTGGCTCACATCACTCAACCCTCCCTTCATAGGCTCCAGATTTTGTAAACATTTGGGATCCATAATAGCTGATAGAATCTGAGAATAAAACCACAGCAGCATTTGTTAGACAAAACACTCCTTATCTGCTCACTATCACTCAACCCTCAATGTAGGATAATTCACACCACTCAAATTCCTTTCAGCTGCAGCAGTTTGGGATTGCAACAGGATTTTAGAAGGTAGGTTCCATTGTTCCAAATACCAGTTGTCACCTGCATAAGCTTTCACATTTTCCATAGAAAGGAGTCTACCCCTAACCATTTGGATGATAGAGTTAGTGACAACCTCTTTAGGTTTGAAAACCTTACTAAAGATTCTACTATTTCTCTCCATCCAAATGTGGTAGATAGTGCAGAGAAAAGAGAGTTTCATAATCACAGATTTCAGAGATTTACCAATGATGGATTTAGTAGCAAACTCAACAAGTTCCAACCAGGGCAAAGAAGGCCAATGGGAATTACATTTAGCTTGGATAACAGCCCAAATCCTAGAGGAGTAGAGACACCTAAAGAACATATGGGAGTGGTTCTCCTCAGGAGCACAACATAAAGGGCAGCTAGGGCTCGTAAGAAGACCAAAGATTTGGAGCCTATCCCCAGTGTTAAGTTTCTCATGGATAGCCAGCCACACAATGAAACTAACCCCAGGGATAACAGGAGGACCCCAAGCAAAGTGAATAGAAAAAGAGCCATCAACAGTCAAACTCCACACAGGAATATCAGGGGAATCAAGGGAAGGTTTAAGGGAAGGAGGAGTGGCAGCAATCCATTCCTGTATCTCCCAAGAGTTAGGAACAGGCCAATTCCAAGAATCATTTGAGATAATTGAACTAACCTTAGAATTGTCAGGAAGGTTGGTATCATACAAAATCCTAGGACCATACCGAAGCAAAAGCGAACCAAAGGGGTGCCAGTTATCATGCCAGAGGAACACATTTTCACCATTACCAAGTTTGAATTTGATAATAGGGAAAATTAAATCCCTAAGCGACAAAAGTTTCCTCCAAACCCAAGAGGGATCACTGGGCACCTTAATACCCCAAAAACTCTTACCCTTGAGTAAGTAGGACTTAATCCATTGACACCACATTGAACATTCCCCACCCGAAAACAAATACCAAACATGTTTGGCTATAGCCGCTTTATTCCAAACCTCCATATCCTTAAAACCAAGCCCACCCTCATTTTTTTTTGCAAATGTGCTTCCAAGCAATTTTAGCACTATGCTTTTTCAGCTCCATCCCAGACCAAAGGAAAGATCTGAGCAGATTTTCAATGTCGCGGATAACCCTCTTAGGGAGAATAAAAATAGAAGACCAATAAACTTGCATCGAGAAAAGAATAGACTGGATGAGTTGGGCTCTACCAGCATAAGATAGCAATTTATTGGTCCAGCTTTTAATCCTTTTAGTAATCCTATCAACCAAGGTTTGGCAATCAGACGCTCTAAGCTTAGTGGTAATCAAAGGCACACCCAAATATTTCACAGGGAGGGAGCCCTCAGTGAATTTGGCAATGTGCAAAATATTAGCTTTAAGCTCACTACTACACCCGGAAAAATAAATATTACTCTTATTAGGGTTAGGAGTGAGACCGGACAAGTTCCTAAATTCCTCCAACCTTGCATGATGAGATGAACAGTCCCCGGATCCCCTCTACAGAAGATCATAAGGTCATCAGCAAAACACAAATTAACAATTTTAGTCTTCTCACATCTCCAATGGAACTTAAAAAGGGGGTTTCTAGATTTTTCAGCAAGAATTCTAGCCAAAACCTCCATAGCCAACACAAAAAGATAAGGGGACATAGGGTCTCCTTGCCTAAGGCCCCTAGCCCCTTTAAAGTACCCATGAAGACTACCATTAATGCAAATAGAGAAAGAAGGACTAGTCATACAAGCTTTGATCCAATTTATCATGCAAGGAGGAAAGTCCATAGCAGTGAGGATGTCAATAATAAACTCCCATCTCACAGTATCGTAGGCTTTCATGATGTCCACTTTCATAACGCACTTCGGAGTTTTGGAACTCCGGTGGTAACCCCTCATAATCTCTTGGGACAGAAAGATGTTGTCCGAGATTCTTCTACCCTGGACAAAAGCAGATTGCACAGGATCAATCAGATCAGGAAGCACCAATTTGACTCTGTTAGCTATTATCTTGGCAATGCATTTGTAGATGGTGTTGCAGCAAGAAATAGGCCTATAGTCACCAACATTCATAGGATTAGGAATTTTGGGAATAAGAGCAATGATGGTGCTATTGATCTCCGAGAGGAGTTTACCAGAGTCAAAAAATGACTTAATGGCAAGAGTAACCTCCTTCCCAACAATATCCCACGAGCTTTTGAAGAAACCAGCTGAATACCCATCAGGGCCAGGAGCTTTATTGGCTTTGAGAGACCAAAAAACCTCCTTGATTTCAACATCCGAAATAGGTTTAGCCAAAAGAGCCGATTGAGAATTGGAAACCTTTTTATTCACCAGCGATTTGATGCGCTCAAGACCATTGTACTCCCCCAAGATAGGGGTAACAAACAGCTTGGTATAGAACTGGACAAAAGTATCATGAATATCAGTATTCTTAGTGGACCTAGTACCATCCTCCATAACCACACTCATGATTTTACCTCTATTAATATTACTCTTAACAGACCTAAAAAAGAAGTTGCTATTCCTATCCCCTAGACCAAGCCATTGGACTCTGGATTTTTGAAGAGCAAGGCACTCTTCCAAATTGCTAAGCTCAATGTATCTTTTCAACTCCTCTCTCTCCTCAGATTGAAGCTCACAGTTCAAAGGATCCTTATCAAGCTTAATTTGAGCAAGATCCAGACTAGCCTTAGAGATAAGGACACGAGTGGATAGATCACTAAAGTCTTTTTTATTAAGAAGCTTAAGGCTGACTTTGAGTTGTCTCAGCTTCTGACAAATTCTGAACATAGGGACACCACGAATATATTGAGACCAGGTATCTTTGAGTTGTCTCAGCTTCTGACAAATTCTGAACATAGGGACACCACGAATATATTGAAACCAGGTATTAGAAACAGTGCTAAGAAAAATCTGGGTGTTGAGACCAGAAGTCAAAGTATTTGAAAGGTTTCTTAAAGGAGCTACTGTTAACACTGATGTTGACCACAACAGATGAGTGATTAGAAATACCAGCCGGGAGAAAAGTAGCCGTAGACTCAGGAAACTTATCCAGCCAGGCCTCATTAACCAGGACTCTGTCAATCTTGGTCGCTATGAAAGCTCCCTCACTCCTTTTATTAGCCCATGTGAATTGGCATCCACCATAAGATAGATCAGCCAATTCAGATGCGTTAATATAAGTATTAAACTCCTCATTTTCAGAAGTCCAGGTAGGAGAACCCCCAATTTTTTCCTGTTGGTATCTTATAGCATTAAAATCACCCAAGAAAATACAAGAAACTTTGGATTTAGAACGGGAGATGTTAAACATTGTATCAAAAAATACTTTCCTCAAAGTGTGCTTATTTGCAGCATAGACAAAAACAGCAAAAAAATATTCATTTGTAGCCAAGTCAAGGATTTTACACAAAATATGCTGATTTGACATGGAAATCAATGAAAGATCACAAAAATCATTGTTCCAGCACACCCAGACTCTCCCAGTTTCAGTTGGTTGTGAATTGGAGAGCATACACCATTTACCAAAGCATTTTTCACAAATTTTCCTCTCATTGGTTTGCTTTATTTTAGTTTCCAAAACTCCCATGACATGAAAATTTTCTTTAGACACAAAATTCTTAACTTCTTTTTGTTTAGAGGGATCATTTAATCCTCTAACATTCCATGAAGCAATTTTAACAGTCATTGGGATACAAAAAGGAGAGATGACAAAAAAACCACAACCAACTGAAACTGGTTACTTCTTCTTCTTCCTCTGGCTGCTGCTGCCTTTGCCAGAGGACTTGTTCTTTATATGCTGGTTTACCTGAGCTACAGTAGGTGACTTCTTTACCTCCTTCAGAGCTGACTCTAGCATTTCAGCAGCATTAGGTATAACCAGCTCTGTAATCTCGAAAATCTTCTTTTGAAATCTATCCACATCACTGCTGTCAGAACTTACTTCTTCCACAGAGGAGCTCTTCTCGGCCGGATCCTCCTGTATCACTTGAGCATGAGCTGAAGCAGCCAAAGGCTCTACAACTGAAGTAGGTATTGGCTCTGTATCTGAAGGGATTTCAGGGGACTCCACCACTTCAGGTATAGTCTCTAACTCAGGATCCCCCACCTTTCTTTTACCCTTCGCTTGAACAGTGGTCCAACCTTCTTCCTGAGGATTAACATTCTCTTCGGTTACCTTCTGCAAGGAAATCAATTGGGCCACTTGTTTGGAAACACACTTCTCAGTACTATGTCCAAAGATCTGACAGTGTTGACAAACAGAAGGCAGTCCTTGATATTCAGCTTTAATCAAGACAGCATCATCACCACACTTGATTTGGAAGTAAGAGAGCAACTTTGATGTAGCTTCTATCTCCACACAGATTCTAGCAAAGGCCACTCTACTACCTCGAGCCGTAAGCTGATCCATAAAGAGGGGGTTGCCAATTGTACTAGCAATCCTGCTTAAACCATCAGGGTCCCAGTATTCCAGGGGGACATTAAAGAATTTCACCCAAACTGGGATTTTAGTGGATTTCTCCTTGGCAAGCTTCATCATTCTCTTCCATTGTTTCAAGATGAGGAGATAATCGCCAATATACCATGGGCCTCCCTCTAGAACGTCTCTACAACACTCAGGGGTATCAAATATGAAGAACATGAAGCCATCCCCATTTGTGAGAACTTCCTTAAGGCCCTTAGCCTTCCACATCCCAAACGCACTATTCCGAAGATAATTATACCCAACTCCTTTATCAATAAAATAGCCAACGAGACAGGAATCCAATTTCTCCAAAGGATCAGGTCTTGCTGGCATTTCTACCACAATACTATCTTCTACAGCAGTTGGAGGGACATACCTGAGCTTGATGTTTGATCGAGTAGATGCAGTAGTAACATTGGCCCATGATCAGTTTCCTTGGTCCATTTGCTCTACTGTTCTGCTTCCACTAGAGCCCCCGCGACCTCCTCTCCCACCCCGATAACTGCTTCCCCCCCTACCACCTCCCCCGTGAGTGGACTCTCCAAGAGGAATCTGGGTGTCAGAGATAGGAGCCATATTAGGATCACTCAGAACAAAACTATTCTTGGTTTCCCCCCTGTTACGCGCGATCTCCAGGCTATCGGGGAGATTCAGGAAGCTATTATTCTCTTCCTCGACGATTTCAGACCAACTCGTACCAATCTCATTACCAATCGGCGTAGATGGTTCCTGACCAAGACCTGGGAGCATCGGAGCCTTCATTTTATCCAACTCTGCACAGTATCCTTAGATCCGTCATCGATTGGGGATTTAGATAGGTCTGATCCCACTATTTCCGAGAACGGAGCCGAAACACCCATTTCTTCAGAACGATTTGCCTCAACATTTACTACCACTTCTTGGTTATGAGCCTCCACACTGGCCAGATCCACCATCGGAGTACCAACACTACGGTCTACGGTTGAAACACCCTCGCCACTAGGTGTAGAGAGGTCTGCTTCAGAAGCCATCAAGTCTGCGTCCTTCTCGATCTTTATCTTTTATGTTCTGGGAACTAATTAGCTTAGGCCACTAATTGTTTCTTTTGCTCAAGTGGCCAAGTTTAACTGAAACTAGCTTTGCTTAGCCTCTAAGAAAGAGAATTTTCAGAGTAATTGTTGCATAATGATATTAGTTTAACGCAAGCACCTCATTTAAGGTTTTCTAAATCACCTGAGTGTTCAATTCTCAAGTCCAAACTGGTGAATTTGAATGCCCTATGATTTTCTTCCTATTTCTCTTTCTTTTCTCTAACTTTCTCTTCTCGCTCTCAAGAAGAATGTTTCTGACTAACTTTCTCCGTCCTACTCTATTTTGTTCTAGGAACTAATTTCCTTAGGCCACCAATTGTTTTCATTAGCTTAAGTTGCCTAGTTTAACTCAAATTAACCTTACTTAGCCTCTAAGAAATAGAATTTTCTAAGTAATATTAGTTTAACGTCTCATTTAAGGTTTTCTAAATTACCTAAGTGTTCAATTCTCAAATCCAAAAATATGAATTTTAATTCCCTTTGATTTTCTTCATACTTCACTTTCTATTCTCTAACTTTCTCTTCTAGCTCTCAAGAAGAATGTTTCTCTCTAACCTTCTCTGTCCTTTTGTGGGTGGATAACCTTCTCTGTCCTTCTCCATCATTCTCTATTTTGTTCTAGGAACTAATTAGCTTAGGCCACTAATGGTTTCATTAGCTTGAGCGGCCAAGTTTAACTCAAACTAACCTTGCCTCCTCCAAGAAATAGAATTTTCTGTGTAATTGTATCTTACCGACATTAGTTTAATGTAAGCACCTCATTTAAGGTTTTCTAAGTCACATAAGTGTTCAATTCTCAAGTCTAAAAGGATGAATTTGAATTCTCTTTGATTTTCTTCCTATATCACTTTCTTCTGTATGACTTCCTCTTCTACCTCTCGAGAAGAATGTTTCTCTGTAACTTTCTCCATCCTTCTCTATTTTGTTCGAGAACTAATTAGCTTTAGGCCCCTAATTGCTTCGTTAGCTTAAGTGGGCAAGTTTAACTCAAACTAACGTTGCTTAGCCTCTAACAAAAAAAATTCTGAGTAATTGTAGCTTAACGCTAGTTGTTTGACTTAAGCACCTCATTTAAGGTTTTCAAAATGACCTAAGTGTTCAGTTGTCAAGTACAAAAGGATGAATTTGAATTCCCCTTCATTTTCTTCCCATTTCTCTTTCTTTTCTCTAACTTCCTCTTTTAGCTCTCAAGAAAAATGTTCCTCACAAACTTTCTCCCTCCTTCTCTAGCCCAATAACCCAAAAGTTGGGTTGTCCCTCCAAAAAGGAAATCTGCCTTGACACAAATCAAAAGCCCACGCGGTGAGATTAACCCATACACACGCAACAAGACAAATTGTCTTCCCCATGTATCAACGTACCAGAGAGATACATCGGAAGCTTCACAAACCTGCAACAAGCTACAACAGTAGATGTGCTAGCTTGACTCCATCTTTGCAACGCGCACCATGCGCGTGGACCATCTTCAACTCCTTCCAGAACGTCGACCAAGGATTTGCAGCAGATCAGCCACACCGAAGCAAAAACCTAGAGGCCAGAACCCCGTCAGCACTGCACCGGCAGTGAAATCACCTCACGGTGACGACGACCCGTGTACAGAACAAATCCAGGCCAGTTCCGAACAAACCCACCAGTGCCGGAGAAGCGAACCACCTGCTACTCCTCACCAGGAACATGCTTACCACCAGCAAAAACCACAAGAAAACTTACAAAATAGAACCGAAGATGACAGTCTAGGACCCACTTGCAAGCTCATCAACCAACGGAGAGACATCCAGCAGGTACAGGATGCATTTACAGACCCCTCTTCCAGCTACCAAGTTACACAAACACAGAGAACCACCGACACATCAAAGAACCCACCAAACAGTGATCAAACTCCGAATCAGAACCCACGGACGATTTGACCAACAGGGGTGACAAATGATAGCCATGGCTAACCGGAGCACAAGAAACAATGGATGCCTTTTTTTTTTGGGTGAATAAGAAACAATGGATGCCGAAATCTGCTGGGGCATAAATACCTCCCAAAACTACCAGAGAACTCCAAACAAAGATGAAAACACAAACAAAAGTCGGCAACACCCCTAACTGGGGCTTACCAGGCCAGAAACATACTCACTCACCCATAAAAACATGGGCAGAGGAGCTAACCAAGCTGGCCAGAACAGCACCAGTCCTTCACCCTCAAGAATTCCACAGCTACCAACGGGAAGGAGCTAGAGAGAAGCTCTCCCTAATTGCCCAACACTAGGAACTTCCGTCCTTCTCCATCTTTATCTTTTATGTTCAGGGAACTAATTAGCTTAGGCCACTAATTGTTTCTTTTGCTCAAGTGGCCAAGTTTAACTGAAACTAGCTTTGCTTAGCCTCTAAGAAAGAGAATTTTCAGAGTAATTGTTGCATAACGATATTAGTTTAACGCAAGCACCTCATTTAAGATTTTCTAAATTAAAAGTAGAGCCTCTCTCTCTAGAATCCCCCCAGTGGTAATGGTCTGGTGCATTATTTGGCCAGTTGTTTAGCTCCTCTACCCATTTCTGAGGGGTGAGTGAGTATGTATTTCAGATTGTGCGATAGTTCAGGCACTGCCTTTCAAAAGTTTTGGAGGTGGGCCTGCAACGTTGAGTTTATGAGTCATCTCCGGTTAGTTCAGAGCCTCTACAGTTCGTGGTTGGTCATGAATGACAGGGTGGTTTTTGGTTTGGTGTTGCAAGTGCGTTATCACCGGCCGGTTTGTGTTAGTCCGTTATCATGGTGTTGCTGCCGGAGTCTATTTTTGTGGCTCGACTATGGCAAACTTTGATTCGGTGTTGGTTTGTGTTGCTTCTGTGGTGAGAGTTTCATTCTTCTCGTCGCAAGTGTGGGATGTTAGCTCGCTAATCTGGTAGTTTTTTTTCTGCCGATTATGCTTGAAGGTGGAGTAGCCAGTTGATGATCCCATGAGCTACAGGTGGTGTCGTGTAAATGATGCGTGGGTTTCCGTTCTGCATCCGTCGTTCTTGGCTTCAAGCGTGTACTGTGGATGGGTTCTGCACCAACGGTGCATCTGTTTTGTAGTCAGATGTTGGGCTGGGTTACTACCACGGTCAATTTCCAGTTCGTGAGAAACTCATGGTCGTCGATAAGCTGCAGTCGGCGGGGCTGGGCTTCACTGTCTGTCGTGATTGTTTCCTATACCTTGCCGTGTTCTGGCCGTTGGTACATTTGTTTTCTGATGCATGTGTTCTGAAGGAGATGAAGTGGGTTTCACGAGCCTTGGGCGCGTGGGATTATGACTGATGTGTTTGGACGTGTGATGAGTGCTATAATGCAGCTACGCAGTAGGTTGCACCTTGGCTCACGATTTTGGGGAGGCCTGTTGTTTCAGACATGGGGCAGGTATTTGAGTGGTATATATAATATGTTATATATAAGTCTTGGTTAGTGGAGTTGCCTTTTTGGTTCAAACGTGGGGCAAGTTGATTGTGAGTGCTATATATAATATTTTATATATACATTTTGGTAGTGGAATCCACCTGTGGGCTTTGAAGAAATTTTGAAGTGTTGGTCATCAAAATTATTGATGATGCTTGGGCCCACGCTTTATTTAGTTAATGGGCTGGTGAAAGTGTATTCGGACTCTTACAAGAAACCTTTTAAGTTCTTTAATTTCTAGTCCAAGCATAAGGACTTTCTTTCTCTGGTTTCTAACGAGTGGAGTCAGTACATTCAGGGTGTTCCCATGTTCAGAGTCTGTCAAAAGCTTAGAAATTTGAAACCTGGGTTGAGAGACCTTAACAAGAAAGATTTTAGTGACATATCTACTAGAGTCCTTGTTGCTAAGTCAGACCTTGAATCTATTCAATATAAATTGGACAAGGATTCGAGCAATCTGATTTTGCAGAATCTTGAGAGAACTAACTACAGGCATTATGTGGATTTATGTGCTGTGGAGGAGAGTCTTGCCCATCAAAAGTCCAAGGTTGATTGGTTGGGTCTGGGGGATAGGAACACCAAATTCTTTTTTAGATCTGTTAAGAGCAATATTAACAGAAGTAAAATCCTTAGCATTGAGTTGGAGGATGGTAGCAAATCATCTAAGCCTGAAGACATTCATCAAGCCTTCATTAGTTTTTTCACATTCTGGGAACTAATTAGCTTGGGCCACTAATTGTTTCTTTTGCTCAAGTGGCCAAGTTTAACTAAAACTAGCTTTGCTTAGCCTCTAAGAAAGAGAATTTTCAGAGTAATTGTTGCATAACGATATTAGTTTAACGCAAG